GCAATGCTGACAGCAACTGGGCTGGCCCTGCCTTCACCAAGGGAGCACTGAAAGTGTTAGTCCTCATCCCAGTGATGATTTTTTTTCTGCTTTTGGAGGATATTAGTAGCTTTGGGTCTTCTGTCTCTCCAAAGTGATGGGAATTGGCCTGTGAGGAAGGTGACAGGCTGGGGCCTGGCAGAGTCAGGGTGGGATAGTGAGACCTTCATCCCCCTTGGGATCAGCAGCCACAGAGGACGTCCTCTCCCACCTGGGCAGAGGGGAGGGCTGATGGCTCCTGGGGATAAGCTGCTGTGCTCTGGGTCCACCACCAGCATGACAGTGACCCAAAATCCAGAGGAACAGCATGAGCTGGCAGCTGTGGTGACAGGCAGACAGGGACAAGGCTGCCCCAAAATGCTGACAAACTGTCACCTCTGCTTGGCGGGGCCAGTGCTGCTGTGGTGAGCAGGAGATGCTGATCCTGGTGTGGCTGCTTCTGAAGTTGGTCCTTTAGCCTTGGCTCTCCCCCAACTCCTGTGGCTGGGAGATGCTCATTTCTCAGTGCAACGGGCACTTTTCACAACAAACACAACCCCTCAGCCTACCTGCGATGCCAAGGCTGGCCTGTCCTCATGCCTTCTCCCATTTGTCTCAGTCTCCAGAGCAACTCCATCAGCAGCGCTGGGGTCACCGCGCTGACAGCGGCTCTCTGCTCCAACAAGGGACTCATCAACCTCAAGTAAGTGACGGTCACTCTCGCCATCCTGGCCGAAAGCTGCTGCTGAGACATGGGACCTTTTTGTCAGTCTGGGCTTGTGCCTGGTTGCTTTCATAAGTGCTCTGGGATGGTGAAAGCAACCTCTGTCCCTCCTCTGGCTGCATCTTCTTTCCTTCATTAGCTTTCTCCCCTTGGGACAGTATTCATTCAGCCATGTCTTGCAATGAAATGATGGCAGCAGGGACGGGACCCTGGGAAAAAGCCCTGATGGGCCATCGGTGCCCACAGCTGTAGGATGCACTGGGAATGGAGATGCAGGGAAGGAAGGTGCAGATACTGATGGGGATGCAGTGAATGGAGATGAAGATGCTGTGGCCAGCAGGTCGAGAGAGGGGATTCTCCCCCTCTGCTCCGCTCTCCTGAGACCTCCCCTGCAGTGCTGGGTCCAGCTCTGGGGGCACCAACAGCAGAAGGACACGGACCTGCTCGAGAGGTGTCAGAGGAGGTTGCGAAGATGATCAGGGGCTGGAGCAGCTCCCCTGTGAGGACAGGCTGAGAGAGTTGGGGGGGGGGCGGGGTTTCACCTTAGAGTGACCTCCCAGTGCTTAAAGGGGCTACAGGAAAGGTGGGGAGGGACTTTCTATCAGGGAGTGTAGGGATAGGATGAGGGGTAATGGTTTTAATTGAAAGAGGATAGATTTGGATTAGATATAAGGAAGAAAGTCTTGACTGTGAGGGTGGTGAGGCCCTGCCTAGAGAAGCTGTGGCTGCCCCCTCCCTGGAAGGGCTCAAGGCCAGGTTGGACGGGGCTTTGGGCAACCTGGGCTAGTGGAAGATGTCCCTGCCCATGGCAGGGGGGTGGGACTAGATGTTTTTTAAGGTCCCTTCCAACCCAAACCATTCTGTGAGTCTATGCTGGTGGGGATACAGGGAACGGAGATGCTGAGGGGGCTGCAAGCCTGGCTGCTATCACAACAGATGTCTCAGCTCCAGAGTGGGGGTGAGGGAACAGTGGGGGAGCAGCTGATGCCCTGCCTCAGCCCCGTGTCTTCCCCAGCCTGCGGGAGAACTCCATCAGCAAGGAGGGAGGCCCTGCCATCGCCCATGCCCTGCGGAACAACAGCACACTCAGGAAGCTGGAGTAAGTCCCATGGGCCCCAGGAGGGCCCCCACGCTGGTGCATGGTGGCACTGGAATTGTCCCAACCTCTGTGTGCATGACTTGTGTTCTCTGTCCCCTGCCTCTAGCCTAGCAGCGAACCTGCTGTACGACGAAGGTGGCAAGGCCATCGCTTTAGCGATGAAAGAGAACCGGGCACTCAAGTCCCTGCAGTGAGTTTCCACCTGGATGGTTTTGAAGCCCCTTAAGTAGATGTGGGGCAGGGACAGGGCTCCTGGGCCTCACCCCTCCAGGCTGCAAGAGCGGGTCACCCTTCCACAGGACGTGTGCTGGGCCACACAGATGGACCCGTGGGGTTTTGCACATGGGTCTTGCACCTCCCAGCCTCCACTGTACTGGGTGGGAGCCTGCAGGGACTGGAGAGTCCTCGTGGCACCCGACTTCACCTCCTGTTCTCTCTTGTTTGCAGCTTGCAGTGGAATTTCATCCAGGCAAAAGCTGCCATGGCCCTGGCACAAGCACTACAGTCCAATGGCAGCCTGGTCAGCCTCGAGTAAGTGGGGACACGGGTGGGCAGGTCCTGGGCAGCATCTTCCTACTGGGGCCTGCCCAAGGACTCTGCCCTCACGCTGCTCCAGGGGAAGTGGCTTTGCCTGCCCCAGTCCATCCTGTGTCCCCATTGCATGTCCCTGGCTGGGGATGCTGTAAGCAGATGGTGGCCCAGGGCTCCCCCAAGCCATTTGGGAAAGCCTGGCACACTGTGCCCTCTGCTCGCTGCCCCTCGCTGCCCGTCTCCCTGCTCCCGGGTGCCTGGGCTGTGAGCAGATGCAGCACGTCCGTGTCTTAGCCTGCAGGAGAATGCCATCGGAGATGAGGGAATGGCCGCCCTCGCCGCTGCGCTGAAGGTCAACACGACCCTAGCAGATCTCCAGTGAGTATCCGGGCCGTGGCAGGGCCCTGGCATTGCAGCCTGTCTAATTAGCGGATCATGGCCACCTCACAACATGTGCTGAAGGGTCCTTGTTCTCTTGCAGCCTGCGAATGGCTTCTGTTGGTGCCACTGGTGCCCAAGCCCTGGCAGAAGCTTTGATGTTCAACAAGAGCCTGCAGATCCTGGAGTAAGTGCTCAGTGGGGCCACCAGGTCCCCACGGCTGTGACACCACTCCCTTGGGGTGCCCGAGACCCTGGGCCTTAACTCAGCACTGCTTCCACCCTTGTACCGTGTCCCACCAGACTGGGCTTGCCTGTCCCTTGACTCACTGGCAGGGGTCACCTCTCCCAGCTCCTCTCGCCCACGGAGAGCGTGGGGCTGTCCCGGGCTGTCCTCCCTCACCACCAGCCTTTCTTTGCAGCTTGCGGGGCAACTACATCGGCGTGGCAGGGGCTAAGGCGATGGCCAACGCGCTGAAGGTGAACCGCAGCCTCCGCCGGCTCAAGTAAGTATCCCACTCCTCAGGGAGAGCCAGAAAGAGCCATTCCAGACCTTTCTGGAGGGAGCAGCGAGGGGATGGCCAGGCCAGCAGCTCTCAGTGGGGCAAAGCCCAGAGCTGGTGTATTCCCAGTGCCCACGCCGTGCATTCCTTCCTGGTGGCCACATCTCCCTGGCTGGTGATTTCTGACCCTCCCACCTCCCACAGCCTGCAGGAAAACTCCCTGGGCATGGACGGAGCCATCTGCATTGCCACTGCTCTGAAGGGCAACCATGGCCTCACCTACGTGAAGTAAGTGGCTGCTGCACTGGAGGTTAAGGCAAGGATGGGGGAGAACATGGGACACAGCAAGCGACTTCCCCCACCACTAGCACTGACCATTCCCCGCTGCCCTACGGGGACCTCCCCAACAGGACAGGAGGCAAGGGCACCCTGTGCTCCCCGCACAGCTCCAGACCCCACAGCTCCTCTCTGGGGATGCCTCTGGGGTGAAGAGCCACCCCAAAAGCCAAATATTCTCCAAAATATCACAGGGACAGACTGGTTCAGCCTCTCCAGCTCAGGTGGAGCTTTCTCCAGCTTTTCATTTGCCTGCCTCCAGGCTCTCCAACCCAGTCCCCTGTGACCAGGCCCCAGCAAGAGCTCCTGGATGGTGTGGGGAGGGTGCAGATGATGCGGGTGCAAAGCCGGGGAGCATTTCTTGTACCCCTCAAGGATCCTGCTCTGCCTTGTGTCCAAGCCTGAACTCCTCTTCTCTTTGCTCCCAGCCTGCAGGGGAACCGCATCGGCCAGTCGGGAGCCAAGATGATCTCTGACGCCATCCGGACAAACTCACCCGACTGCGTTGTGGATGTGTGAGGGTGCCTGGCCGCAGTGAGGAGTTGGCCTGGTGGGTCACTTGGCCAGTGTGCCTCTGCAGGGAGCTCTCGGCCTCCACCCGCCCATCTCAGGAAGGAGAGCTGGGGCGAGGAGAGCTCCTGAGCTCCCTGGCACAGCCCAGGAGGACCCAGGGCCTCCAGATCAGCAGTGCAGGAGGGTCAGGACTTCCTAGTGCTGAAAGCTGAGGGATGTGCACCCACATCCCTGTTCAACGAGACCCAGGGGGAACGTCAAGGAATGGGGCAAGTGCCAAAAGGAGGGAGGAGGGGGCAGAACCCTTGTTTTCATGGGTGATTTTCCTGCCACCGCCAATGGCAGCAACCCCTCCTGTGATCTTCATGGGGTTACGGCGCCGTGCCCAGACCCTGCCCCTGCCTGGGTGCAGCCTGACGGCCCCGGAGCTCTGCTCTGCTCCCAGCCTGCGTCGCTGTGGGAAACGCTGCAGCATCCCAGCCGGGGCTGCAGGGCTCTGCTCCCAGCACCAGCTCTTCGCTGTCTGCTTCTGGCAGGGATCTCAGGAGGAACCAGCTGAAACATGGGCAGGATTGACAGCAGCCCCTCCTCGCCTGGCTAAATACAGCCCGGTCCTGCAGGCTCCCCTTGAAATCCCGGGGAGAGGCGAGAAGTTTGCAGTTTTCTTCCTCAGATAAGTGTGGTGCTTTGGACAGGGCACTTCAGAGCAGGGTCCTAGGCAGCGAGTGCAACCTGTGCTGTTTGCTGTGCCCTCAGTAACAGGCTGGTGCAGGCCCAGCATGCCTAAAGGGTTCAGTAGTGCCGTTCTCCATCACAGATATCCCAAGGCATAGGAGTGGAACCGTCTGGAATGCCCTAGGGAAATAAAAGAGCCCTTGGAGTAATGGGAGGAGGCATTGGAGGGTGAATGTAAGGGGAGCAGAACTGTACAGGGATGGGCTGTCTCCAGCACACAAGTCTTGGTGCTACACCAGGACTGCCTTTCATGAAGTTCTGCCTCTTGAGTTCAGGCTGGACTTCTGGGGTCTCCTGCTGTTGTCATCGGTGACAAGTTTTGCAACTTCAGGATGTGTCTTCCCGACAGCCCAGCCGCAGGCAGGGTCTGTCCCTAGCAGGTCACCTTTTGGGCGGGTGGCTGCTGAAAGCAGAGGTGCCAGGTGACACCTTTGTGTGTGTGCAGAGACCCAGTGACACTCCAGAAAGGGCCAGGTTTGCAGATGGACCAGTAGCCAAACTAGGCAACCCCCCCCCACGCCCCCTCCAGCCCACACTGAGACACGCTGCTGCTGCTGCACTGCGGGCAGGGAGCGACGGCTCCAGGGCCCTCTGTGGCTGCTCCCGGAGCAACGCTGGGCTGAGCTGTGTGATATGTACATACTGGGAGATAAATCAGTTCCTAGATGAGCAGATGCCTCGTGCTGCCTTCCTCTCGTGTTACATTACCTCTGGGGTACGCTGTGCTCCAGTGTGCACCCAGCCCCCTGCACTGGAGTGACAAGAGGGCTTATGGCTTTTCCATGAGGTGTCAGGGGCTTGGCTCTCCAACGGGATACAGCGGTGCTGAGGGATTTAACTCCTACCTCTCTCACTGTTATTTCAGGGCAGGTTGAGGCTCAGGTCCAGCTCTGCCCAAAGCCTGAGCCTAACCCTGAGCTGAAACATTACCTGAAACACCAATGGAAAGCAATCAACAGCCCTGAGCTACCTCCCATGCCATGGAGCTCCAGAAAATGGGGTTAACAACAACTTGAAATAGAGCTAATTGATCCGTCCACATGTGCACATACCTAGCCACACACAAACACTCCTGGGCTGAAAGCTCAAGTGCTTGCAGGGTTCATTTCCACTGGTGCCGGGGGTGACTTCAAACAGCACTGCCCAGTCCCAGAAGCTGCAGTGCACACCACAGCTGCCTTAAACTGGGCTGCTGGTGCTGAAAGGCTGGGTGGCAGTGCTGCCTGAAGAGGCTCTGGTTCTGCGCACACCAGGGATTAAGTCGGCTCTCCATTTTGGCCTACAATATAGGAAATAACATAGAAAATTTTAACTCTGAAACTGCAGCCCAGACTTGGAGACTGGGCCCAATCTTGTGGGAAGTATCTCTCATGGGTCAGATGTATCTCAGGACTGGAAGAGATTCCCTGTGTAACACGTAAAAATGTTTTCAGAACAGGTCCTAAAATCAGGACATCCTCATCCCCTGGGAAAGGGATGTGGCAAGCACATGCACTTTCTCACTGGTTGCCACAGGACCACCCCCTGATGGCTCTGCAGGTGGTGTCTAGCCCCAAAAAGGCCATCTTCCGTGCTTGCTTTCTTTGAAGTGAGGTACAAAATCCCAATTAACTTTGCAGGGTGCAAAGAGGTGTCCTAACAGCCAGCTGAGCTCAAGCCTGTACGATTGTGAAAATTTCAGCACATCACTGCACACACATATGTCCCATTACTACACAAAAACTGCGCTGTATTTACCTGTAAACTTTTGTCCCCCCTTGATGTGACATGTCAAGCTCTGAGCTGTGCTGATGAGCAACTGCCCTAGGTGTGAAGGTTCCACCCTTGAGGCCAGAGACACAGAGAGATGAAAAAGCTCTTGGTTTTTCAACTAACTCACATGTATTCCTTCCTTCAGCACAATAATGGAGGGGTTGGACCTGACTAGACTTTAGATGGGGGGGAAAGCAAAGTACTTTGCTGATGTAAAAAAAAGGGAAGGGCAGGAAAACAGCCTGAGCTCTTGTCTGCCCTGATGAATACACACCAAAACAAACTCTCCTAATCAAGCACTGATTTCTGCTCCCGTGAAGACAAATTGCGATGCTGAAGCAGAGCTAAAAGAAAAGAGGCAGCACACCAGACAAACGCCAGCTTTTGCATTCACCTGAATACAATTTCACTGATGGCATCAGTATAACTTGCTGAACAAAAGCCCAACTTTGGGCCCATTTTAGTGCTTAAACCTCAGTCTGCACCAGAATTGCCAGTATAATTAAAGGGCTAATTTTGCATGGACTTAGTTACAGTGCAGTCTTGCACGGTTGCCTTCGGAACACTCAAGCACAGCCCACTGAAGTCTGAGAACAATTCCCCCCGACACAGCTGAAATACTAAGAGATGCTGCACTGAAGGTGGTATTTGAGGACTCCCTTCACTAGCTTCCGGCTCCCTTAGCGCAACTGGTGCTGCTCTCTGCAGACGCAAGCCCTTGATTAAGTAAAGGAAATGTTTGGGATAAATAGATTTAAGCCAGATTTAAAATCAATTTGTGTTCCCAGAGCAGCTTTTCATCCAGTTGTATTAAGCCAAAAAAATCTGTTTGGACATAATAAAATGCAGGGAAATCAAGCACACGATGCTCACTGGAGTGCAACTTCCGGCACTGCAGCGCACGAGAGCCAGTTCTAATGCAATTATGGAAATAACTGCACTCCACATTACTGTGATACTCATTACGGATAAACTGCTCGTGCTTTGAGAGTCACAAGAGTGGCACTCCAAGTTTAATTTTCAAGTTTAATGAACATTATTTACCAACTCCCGCATTCATGCTGACAAGCGCTTTTCAAACGACAGGACATTAGCTCCTGGCCTACATGCTCCCCAAAGTTTATATTTCCAGATGCCTCCTGGTCCTGCTTCTAAAGGGTCAGAAGTCATTATCACTTTCCTCTAGTGGCTCTGGCTTTCTTGCTCGGTGACCAGATTTGCTTGGGGAGATTTCCATGCTGTTGTCTTCTATATCATCCTCCTCCTCATCTTCATCTTCATCCAAGTCAATCTCACTATCCCCTGAGTCCTCCTGCAGGAAAGCAAACAGAATTAATGACCAGTTGAGTTCTCAGATGGCAAGGCACCTTTGCCACCTCAAAAGATGGCACTGCTGGCTGATGCCGAGTCCCTCCCTCCCTCCCCTGACTGTGTGCAATCACACACCTGGGGGCTATGGGGAAGGCTGCTTGTCTGGACTGGTATGGATCCAGATTTGGGGAGCTGCAGCAGATTCTACAAGAGGTTTTGTTCCAGCTCAGGCTGCTGTGCTGCTGGCCTTCCAAAACAACAAAAAGCCAGAGCTCAGCTGCCTCTGGGAGATAACAGCCCACATGCCTTTCACCAGCAGCTCCCCATGTTGCTAGACAGTGGCTGCTCCACTCAATTGACTGCAAACCTCCTTCCCCATTTCATGGGGCTGACAAAAACAAACCCCCTGACTTCTGCTGAATCTGTAGTATTAAAAACCTTGTAGAGTGTTTAACTTTAAAGGGATACCTATTGCAAGACCAAAGAATCAAGGCATAGTGGAAGAAAACTAACTGCATGAGAGAAACTCACCTGTGCCATGGTGATGATCTTGTGTACACCTGGCCGTGCTGGGGCAGATCTCCCCTTGGAGAACCACAGTGTAAAGAACAGGAGAGGCAGAGCAGCAGAAAGAAGGAAAAAAAAAAGTACAAGGATATAAAAGAAAACAGAAAGTAACCAGAATGGGAGCAGGGGAGAAGGCAGCAAAGCCAAGTACAGCTTGGGCATGTGCCACACCAGCAAGTGATGGAGGCTGGACATACAGCTGCTAAAGCCTTCTCTCTCCTCAACTTCATAACCCAATTAATTCTTTCAGGGGTTCAAATCAGCCTCACTAGTTTCCTTCCCTGATCTCTGACACACTGACGCTTGCAAAGGTCCCTAAGCAAGTCTCTCAGCCCTGGTGCCTGCTGAGATGCAGTATTTAAAGGGCAGAGCCATGGGACAACCAAGGTGGCTGCAGCTAAGGACAGTAAGAGGCCAAACACCTTGGCTTTCCACACCTACATGTGCTGGGGCTGTGCCAACAGGGAGATGTGGGAGAAAGCTGTGAACAGGAAAGTCCAAAGAAAGGAGAAATTTCAGAGAACGACTATCCAAAGCTGGCAAGAACGTGGTAAAGGATGATCAGGCAGCACTGTGACTAAGGTCACACCATCTTCACCTACAGCACTGGCACTCCTGACCCTACCCAGAAATGTTTCTTAATATCATTCCCCAGAAGGCAACAGTCTCAACCACATCAAGTCTGGCTGAAGCAAACAGCAGAATGTGGTCTGTAAGCTCTTTTCAAGAGAAAAGGTGAGGATGGGCAGAAAGAAGGGCAGCTCATCCCTCTCCAGCAAGAGACTTATCATTATAGTGCCTCCAGGTCTCTGCAACAAACGCCTAATAGCAGTGGTACCTTCACTCTTCGGGCCCTGCCTGCAGGAGAAACAGTCTGCCCAGAGCTTTGCATGGCTGCCCCAGAGGTGTCAGCCAGCCATGGCAAATGGCTTTTGTATGTGGTGGTGAACATGGCGAGTTTCCTACTGTTCTTATGTCCTGTAGAGGTGGATTCCCCCATCTGCTTCCCTCCCGTTTTAAACCTCCTCCTGGGGACCCTGGAGCCATGCCAGCTCCATGAACTTCTGCTTCCTGATGCAGGTCAGCACTGCTGCTCCCCAGGGTCCGGTGTCTGTAATGGGCCTTTGTGAAGAGATTTCTGAAAAGCAAATTCTGTTTCACAGAGGCTTGATTTCTATGCCACAAAGGCAGCAAAAGGCAGGTCAGTACTGAGAGATGGACCATCCCCCAGCAGCACGGGACTTCAGAGAAGACGTCTGAACTAGCATGTCCTCCTCAAATAGACAGGCAGCACCGTGGGGTGTCTGCTGCACAGCGAGACAGAAAGGCTGCATCTACACTAGGAGGTTAACAGACAGCACAGGTTCAAACACAAGTTCACAGTCACTGTAGTTTTTAAGTGTTTATACTATTTCCTAGCCCAGTTTTGGCTTGTGCCAACCAGCACCCTCCAAAACTATTCCAGCATCACCAGGGGAACTGGACACGGCCACTGCTTTTGGCTGGCAGCTTGGATGCCAGCACCTTTTGGGGATGGTGGGGAGAGCTTACTGTATGGATGCAAACCATATCACAGCAGGTGGCTTCAGCTGCTTAGTGCAGATGTAGCCACTTACAAGTGCCCAGAGGCATAGAAAGATTGCCCACATATGCCAAAAGCTGAGCACTACAGTCAGAATAAGTGCCTGTGTGTACCTTTTTACCCACTGTCTGCTCACCAGGTCAACCATAACCAGATGCAAAGCCAGTAGCCATGGGACAGCTTTATCTACAACACAGGGATGCCCACGGCACAGCTCACAGGTCTGCTCTCATCCCTGTCATCTGGAGGACTGAAGGACTGATCCTGTTAGGACAGACCACTGAGGGCTCCAAGGAGTGTGTTTTTAGAGCAACACAGGAGATATAGATCCATGTATCTAACCCCTGCTACACTGCACCGATCCCCTCTTCCCAGCAATCTGACCCAACAACTTAACAAAACAGCATTCCTGCAGCCCCTGTGCCACTAGTTATGCACTGCAGGCTAAAGCACAGGGCAGTGCGCAGAGGCTCCAAGGGCAAAAGAAAAATAGGAAAATACTGTGTCTATGCAGATGAGAGAGCAGTCAGCTGGAGGAAAGGAGGAGAAAAGCAGGCCTAGGGCATGAGGTTTCAGCAGATAAAAAGGTGTTTCTCCAGCTGAGGAGAGGGCTGTCATTCTAAAGCACTGTCAGAGAAGCTCCACAGGCACATGGGATGGTTACTTACATCTTCCTCTGTGTCTCCACCTTGCATTGTTCCCACAATCCGTGTGCCAGCTCTTCCTGCAAGAGTAAAGAGAAGCACTGAAAAACCTGGCTCACTGTTAACACTGAGGGAGAAGGAAAGATAAAGTTCAGGGTTTACATTTTAGAAGATTAGTCAAACAGCAGTGAGAGGATGAGTTCCCAATGCATGTAAAGTTACCCCACTTGTTAAGCCTCAGCACTCAGGAGAAGGTAAAAGGGGGTAAGGCTGACAGTAATTCTAGTCAGGACGGTATCTCCAGAGCTACCTTATGCCACTATGACAATTCAGACAGGACAAGAGGCAATGGACACATTAAGAAATAGGAAATTCTATCTGAACACAAAACCATGGGGTTTTTTACTGTCAGGGTGGTCAAACAGTTGAACAAGGTTGCCAAGAGAAGTTGTGGAGTCTCCATCCATGGAGACAGTCAAACCCCAACTGGATGTGGTCCTGGACAACCTGCTCAAACTTGCTGTTTGAGCAGAGGGGTTGGACTAAATGATCCTGAGAGGTCCCTTCCAACCTAAACAATTCTGTGAATTGGCATATTCCTTCCTCTGCTTCAGTACACAGAGAACAAAGCTTGTCTTTTCCACATGGTAAGCCTTCAGTCTTCAGAGTGCTCACTATGCTCAGATCCTTGCTGATATTCCAGTAGGGAGGACTGAGATCTCACAGGAATCCTAGGCAGTGCCAAGGCAAACCTCAAGTGTTGGAGAGCGGCTTGCAGAGAGCAAGGCCATAGCTCCCTGCAGGAGCTGGTCGGCCACAGCTCCCTGCAGAAGTCGTTCTCCAACACTCAAGAACTTCTTGTTCAGAGTTGGATGTGTAAGTCTGAAGAGGGAGGTGGAGATCTCAGGGTTGTAGGAAGTTCACTCCTCTTCCAGGCCCAGGATGGTGTTCCGGGCAGTAGCATGAGGCACAGGGTAGGTCTCCAGCCATCCAGTGGTTACTTCCACCATGGTCAACATGTAGTGCTTGCCTTGGCGGGTTTGGGGAAGGGTGATGTAGTCAACTTGACAGGCTTCCCCATACCTGTACTTTGACCGTCGTCCACCGTACAACAGAGGCTTCACCCACTTGGCCTGTTTGATTACAGCACAGGTCTCACAACTGTGGATGACCTGTGAGATGCTGTCCATGGTAAGGTCTACCCCTCCGTCACGGGCCCATCGGTAGGTTGCATCTCTCCCCTGATGACCAGAGGCATCATGGGCCCAAAGAGCTAGGAATAATTCTCCCTTGTGCTGCCAGTCCAGATCCACCTGGGATACCTTCACCTTGGCAGCTCGGTCCATCTCCTCGTTGTTGTGATGCTCTTCATTCGCCCGACTCTTGGGTACGTGCACATCCGCGTGTCGAACCTTCACGGTTAGCTTCTCTGTGATGGTCTGTGTAGACATGGTGCTTGTTGCTCTGCTCTTTTTTTCCCTCTCATCCTGAGGATGCTGTGCCATAGCTCTGATCCTAAGCATGGTGTACACAGTGCAGGTCATAGAGAAAAAAGAAAAAAGAACTGACAAGAAGATTATGCCATCCTTAACATCCACAGAGAACTCAATATTTCCAAAAACTGCTGTATCCGGCCTGAAAAGCTGGAAAAAACCCACTCTTTTAATCCTCCCCCCAGGGTATGGGTATGATTGTTGAGGCCCCAGATGTAGCAGCCTAAAGTAGGACATGCAGACAAAGTTGAGTATATATTCTGAATTATGTTCACTGTCTTGGAGGTTATCATGCAGTAGGCATAATAGACTAATAAAGCAAATTTTATACCATACCCTGGTCTACACAGGAGCATTAAAATCGGCAGATAGTTCCCCATGTGCGGAAAAATATAGAGAGCTAGATACAAGACCCATGTAAGCATGCTGAACATCATAGCGAGTAGGTGGCTTTTACAATACAAAATGGTAATTCTTACTTTTCTCAACAGCCAGCCCCACGTTGGGCGCCAAAATATGTGCTAATTTGAAAACAAACTAGTGGGAGACACCAAGTCAGAATAACAATTTAATAATGAAAAAAATAATTATAAAGGCAGATAACACTGCGTTAAACTAACAGAGTCAGGATACAATCCGACACCCTGTTAATCAGGGCGGCGGTAGCAGTCTGGTAGAAGGTGGCTGCAGTCCCCCCGAAGCGGTGATCCTGTAGAAAAAAAAAATCTGCTCTTCCTCAGAAAAGTCCAGTGGTGGCTAAATCGGAAATCCAGTGGAAAGGAGAGCGCCTCTGGTATTCAGAATCTCCGGTTATATCCAGGATGGAATGCTGGTTTTCTCCCTCTGGGTGGAGCATCTCACAATGGGATAAGGAGTCATGCTGCACGGCATTGATGGGCCATTAGCAGAAAGACAGTCTGGAGGGGGGAGGAGGCTAGGAAACACTGCTCCACCTGATTTCAACAGCTCATGAGGATGGTAATAGAATACACTGCAACCCAGGACACTCTGCAGAGGCCATATGAAATGGAGAAGATGCTCGCATGGCCTCCTTTGCTAGGAAGGAAGCCCGGAAGGTGTTGGAAAGGGTTGTGACTGGGGAAATTCTGCTTGTGGGCTGACTGGGTGACTCAACCCTGCTTTCTGCAGCCACCAGAAGTCACTCAGTGCCAACTGGATGACTATTTAACAGTCCCATTGTGGCCATCACATTTCACCATCTGTTTATCTCCTGTTATCACTAGTATTCTCTATGCCAAATATGGATTTTTCCATTCTAGACAAAATCTATTTTATTTTTTTTTAGCATGAAAACCAAGCCACTATAAAAAATATCCTGTCAAACCTCTTTTTGTACCTCCCAAAGTACAAATGATGACAGGTCCTTTTCAGACCCTTTGCAGACTGATTCAGGTTAGTTGTAGCAAAAAGCTGGCAGAAGTCAGCAAAAACCCCCCTGTGTTAAGGCAGATAATTTAAAGGATCTTATATCTTTAAGTAAAAAGTGGTGTCCTTTATCTGTCTTGTTGATGATAACACAGGCAGTGGAGATGGAATTATAAGATTCCTGGACAGAGGAGCTTTAGAGACACTTGCTCTAATACACACCAGCTTAAACTATGTAAATTTGTGAATTTGGAGACGATTACAACTGACATCATTAGATGGCCATGGAAGCAGATTTTTGCCCAGCTTACAGATGGCTCCAAGAGTTTAATTGCAATTTTGCTCCATAAAATGGCTCAGCATAAAGTGTTAGGTAGAGAATTACTACCTCAAAGGAGAAAGCAGCAGGGAATTCCTAAAATCTACTGATAAGACAAAGCTGAGAGAAATCATGAATATAAAAAAGAATCAAGATATCACATAAGGGGAGCTGATGAAATAGGACATTTCAAAAATGCCAAGGGAAGAGCTTAGAGAATGCTAACAGAGGGTCTGCAGGATGCCACTCTTCCATCAGTGGAAACAGCAAGGATCTTACAGGCATCTAACTGCTTACATTTGGAGAAGGATGAGAATCAGGTACTGCCCAGACTTTGAGCCCTACATTGTTTAAGCCAGGAGCACCTCTTTGAACTAGTGACTGCGGGATCAGCAGCGTTAGGTCCCGTAGCACTGCCCTGGGACACTCACAGGAGACACCCCAGGACGCAGAGGGGCCAGAGCTCCAGGTTGTGCACTGTGCTGTGGATTAAACAGGAGAGAAAACAGATTTTCCACGTTGGTAGGAGAGGTTCCATGACAAAGGCGGGAGGGTTATTTTAACTTTCAGATTGTAACCCCCCAAGTTTCCGTGTGTGGGAGCGAGGAGTGGCAGGTGGCTGTGGTGCCTTTTTGCGTGTACTGGGGCAGAGGCAGGAAACAGAGGAGTCATCTGCACAGGACAGGGCAAGCGGGCAGGTACGGGGGTGTTTGTCACTTGAAATTTCCTGGGTTCAGTTGAGCTGGGCTCAGCTTGCTGCAGTGCTAGTGCTGCACCACTCTGGCCACAGAAGCTCACACAGCTTCCAAGCAGGTGAGAGTCTGTTATGTTTACTTACAGATAATGTGAATTCATCCGGGACAGGCTGTACAAAGTGATAATTAGGGAAAATGTTAATAATGAACAGGCTGTAATTCACTGCACCTTTGGATTCAAATCTAATCTCTGTGCATCACCATGGTCTATAGCCAGTGAGCCATCAAAGATCAGAAGTGAATGTGCATCCACGATTTTAAGCCTGTGAGCATTTGCCATTTTTCCTCTGGGTGTGATGCTTGCCATTGTACTAACCCGTGCAGCTGCCCACAATGGATCCACAGGACTAGAATGATTTACATCTTCTTACCCAGCAGAGGGTATATGTTAACGCTGTGCCTGACAGCATGAAGCAACATTTAACCTGAGAGGTTAGGACAACCTACCATGAGGGGAAGGCAGATTTGCAGCTGAAACATTTTGCTCCCACTTTGGAGATCTGCATTCAGTCTCCAGCACTTATCTGAGTGCACTGTGAATTTGCATTAAGACACCTCCCTCCCCTCCGCACCACCTCCACACACAGAGAACTGGGATAAATTTTTGCCTGATCTTTCTGATCTGTGTTCCCTTTAGGCACTGCATTCTTAAGTGCAAACGTACCCCTTAGCACAAGCCCCTGATCTCAGCAGCATTTTCTAGGCATTGCCAAAGTAAGGTGATTAATTAAGCACACCACAGCTGCTGCCCAAGATGAGCATACTTTTCTCTTACACCTCCATGAAAAGGAAATTTGCTTGGAAGTGAGTGAACTGTCTCCCACCATTTCAGACCTACCACCTCTTCTCCTCCGCTAGGTCCAGCATCGCAATGACCACAATACAGGCTGAAAGCATACAGAAACACTTCCCTCCCAGGGAGCACTTAACTATGCTGACACAAAACATACAGCCAAAGACAGCTCAGTTGGGAGAGGATGCTGAGATGGTGGGAGGAAGCTCTATTTCAAGCTAAGACAAATTCATTTCTGTGAATTCTAACCACAGCCCCTTTTCAGTGCTTCCAAACACACTTGACTGCCTCCCTTCCCCAGCTACATGAACCTGGTAGTAATGTCCAGCAGCTG